TGTGACTGCAACCTGAGACTCCTTCAGGTAGTGAGGGATAGGGTATAAATCCAATCTCTTCTTCTTCTTCTTCTTAAACTATAAGGGATTTTTACTCACCCAAAGAGTGATTAACACATGGAATTCACTGCCACAGGAAGTGGTGGCGGCTACAGGCATGGACGGCTTCAAAAGGGAATTAGATAGGCATATGGAGCAGAGGTCCATCAGTGGCTATTAGCCACAAGGTATAGATAGGGGGTCTGGGGCAAGTGATGCTCTGTCTTCTTGGTGCTTGGGGGGGTCAACAGTGGGAGGGCTTCTAATGTCCTGGCCCCACTGGTGGACTTCCTGATGGCACTGGTATTTCTGGCCACTGTGTGACACAGAGTGTTGGAATGGATTGGCCTTTGGCCTGATCCAACATTGGCGTCTCTTATGTTCTTATGTACTCTCTAAATCTTTCCTGTGGAAAAAATGATTGATAATTTTCTGTGTGATAAAGCTGAGCCTAGGTACCTAGCCATAACTAGCCATAACTTGTTATCCTGCTCTTCCTTCCAGGAGCTCGGGGCAACAGACATCCTTCTCCTCTGCTATTTTTGTCCACACAACAACCCTGTGAGGTAGGTAGGCTGAGAGGGAATGACTGACCCAAGGTCACCCAATGAGCTTCATAGCTGAGTGCACTGTAGTTTGAACCCCGGTTTCTGAAGTCCTAGTTCAACAACATTTTCAAGAGCCCAAACCCTCTAGGGCAGAGGTCTCAAACTCATTAGTGACGAGGGATGGATCTGACAATGAAGTTACTTTGTCAGTCCCGGCCATGTCTGTCATAAAATGAAACGCCAGGTATCAGAGATATAAACTTTATAAATGACACAGGCAAACCCAGTCGATGATATTACTTTTCACTCAAAATACAAACAAAAGCCATTGATTCCTAGGAGTGAAAGCAATTGATTTACAGGGGAATTCACAAAACCCCCAATAAATGTATTGAATCTTATGCAAGACTAGATTTTTTCCCCAGGGGGTACCATACCAGCCTGCTAGCCATTTCCTTTCATTTCTTGACAGCTTTGACCACACACACCTCATTATCGGTACCTGCTCCCCCTGCCCCCGGAGCAGCACTCTGCCTTCCCTCTCTCGCGCCAGTCGCTTACGGACCGGATAAGAGCCCTAGACAGGCCAGTTTCAGCCCCTGGGCCTCATGTCTGACACCCCTGCTCTAGGGAGTTGTGTTCTTGCAAACAGTGCTGGGAGGGGGAGCCAAGCAGGATGGTCCCCCACAGCATTTGTAAACTGTTGGGAATCCCAGCAGTAAAATACGTCCCTGTGGATGCCATATTGTCTACTCTGGCCCACAGTCTCAGCCTAATGAGACTATTGTCATGAGGATAAAATAGAGAATGATGCTTTGGGCCCCAATTGGGGAGAAAAGAAGAAGAAGAGATGGGATTTATACCCCGCCCTTCACTTGGAGTCTCAGAGAGGCTTACAAACTCCTTTCCCTTCCCCTCCCCACCACAGACACCCTGTGAGGTAGGTGGGGCTGAGAGAGCTCTGGGAGAAACGGCTGTTTCAAGGACAGCTCTGAGAGAACTATGGCTTGCCCAAGGTCACCCAGCAGCTGCAAGTGGAGGAGTGGGGAATCAAACCCGGTTCTCCCAGATTAGAGTCAGCACACTTAACCACTACAGCAAACTGGCTCTGTATAAATGTCTGTATAAAAGCACTGTAAAAAGGTAAAGGTAAAGGTTCCCTTGCTCGAAAGCCAGTCGAATCCGACTCTAGGGTTGCAGTGCTCATCTCCGTTTCAAAGCCGAAGAGCTAGCGCTGTCTGAAGACGTTTCCGTGGTCATGTGGCCGGCATGACTAAACACCAAGGTGCACGGAATGCTGTTACTTTCCCACCAAAGTGGTACCTATTTATCCACTTGCCATTTCTTGCTTTCGAACTGCTAGGTTGGCAGGAGCTGGAACTAGAGATGGGAGCTCACTCCGTCATGCGGCACCCGGGTCTAGAACTGCTGAACTACCGACCTTCCACAGCCTGCAGTTCAGCGTCTTAACCACTTGAGCCACCGCAGCTCCAAAAGCACTGTATAAATGCCTAAATAAACAAAGAATCACGTCTGCCCAGCAAAGTGGGCTCTAGTCTGTGAAAGCTCACGCTACAATCAAATCTTGCTTCCCCTTTTGAGGTGTCACAACAAACAAGACTCCTGATAACATTATATGCTAAGCGTTACAAAACATCCAGTGTTCTTTTCTTCCAGAAAACAAAAATGCACAGAAGGGGGAAAAAACGGGGGTAGAGAACTTGGCTCCAGAGTTCCTAGCAATGCTGCATCTCAACCCATGGCGAAGTCCTTGGGTGATATATACACTCATCTGGCACACTGCCGCCTAGGTAGTGATTTACATTCAGTACCTTTCAGCCAACAGGTGAAACGAGGTGTGGAAAGGAAATTGAAGCCAGGGAGGGCAGCGGGGGCTTGGAACCGCTACAATTCCCCCATAAGGAGCACACCGGGGATGCTTTCTTGACAGGAAGGAGACTTCTCTCGCAGAGAGACAAACGAATGAGCTATATTTTGTCATCGTGACTGGAGGCGCTGTCATCTTAGGGATCAGTCAAAGATGTTATGTTAAATCGGTTTACATCCTTTGCTAAAGGGATAGGACACAAATATGCAAACATACAGCTAAAGTGCAGTCGATTTCTGCCGGGGGGGAAACCAAACAGTGTCAATATTCTATTATTGGCCAGTTTGGTGTAGTGGTTAGGAGCACGGACTCTAATTTGGGAGAACCGGGTTTGATTCCTCACTCTTCCACATGCAGCTGCTGGTCTGACCTTGGGTCAGTCCCAAGTTCTCTCAGAGCTGTTCTCTCAAGAGCAGTTCTTGGAAGAGCTCTGTCAGCCCCGCCTACCTCACAGGGTGTCTGCTGTGGAGAAGGGAAGGGAAAGGAGATTGTAAGCCGCTCCGAGACTCCTTTGGGTAGTGAATCTCCTCCTCCTCCTCTTCTTCTTCTTCGCTGGGTGAGTCAATGTCAGACATTTTTTTGCAAAATTCAGTCCATTTCAAGTATTAAGAGGCTAGAGAGTGGAAATCTTGGGACGTGTCATTGGGACCAGGAGAGGGGCTGGGGGTTGGGTCAGGGGGCAGCACCAGCATAGCAGCTGGGTGTAGCCGATTTGGCTGGGGCAGCCATTGTTGCCATTGTTCCCAGCCCTCTTGTGGTGCTGCCTGCTTCCTGTTCTCAAACTTCTAAAAGCAGCCATAGGTCCCTGCCACATGACGGGAAAAAAGGACGGGCAAAGCGCGGCTTTTAAAAGCCACACCAAAATAGGCACGCAAAGGCGGGATCATACAGATCCCGTGAGCCGCCGTGCAATTGCTCCCCAGCACGATCAGATGCCAGGGAGACCGGGGAGAAAGCCACGGGAGGCTGCCGAACTGCGCATGTCTGAGCATGTGCAGTTCGGCCAAGAGCCGGGAATGCGCCAGTGGAAGAATGAGCCGAGGATGCGCCGGCGGAAGACCGTGCCGGCGATCCCACGGCCGGCTTTGATGCAGCCTTTCGGAAAGAATCACCTCGGCAGGTGGTTCTTTTTTGCTGCGGGTTATCATCGGAAGGGCCGGATCGGGGACGGGCGTGCAATGCTTACCAGATTTGCGGTGGGATCGCACCCGTTTGCTCCGCCCCCGATCCGTCCCTCTCCCGGCCCAAATCCTCTTGTGTGACCGGGTCCATAGATTCAATAAAATTGCTGACCTCTCGTCTTGAGCCGTTCTGGTTGGATGCAACCTAGTTTTTATTTTTGTTTCTTCCTAGAACCTAGCTATTTAGAGACTACCAACCAGTATATATTTTTGGTTATTTCTAGAGTCTAACGAACCATACCAGTAAGTATGGGATGGAATCTTGGTCGTCTTTGATCTGACTTTGAATACATCTTAAAAGTACTGGGTTTGATCCATCTGCTACAGGAGGGGCCATGTTCCTTTGCGGGAAGATTCCTCAGCTGATGTAAGGCCATCTTATCTGTGGTTTCTGGGAGTCCAACAGTTGTAATCTGTCAAAATATCGACAGCTCACCAAATGGCTCCCACAGAGGAGCTCCTTCTTGTGGCCAACACCCTGCCCTGATTTTCTGCTGATGGACCTCACAAAGAGAGCTCTAGACAGAGCACCCTCCTTCTGTTTTATTAGTATACTTCTAAATTTACATTGCAAAGCAACTTACTGGAGGAGAAGTAAAATGCACAAGTGAATAGAGGAAAATGGGCAGAGAGATCTTTGTTTTGCTTCAATGAACTGTCCCAGATACCTCCCGCGATGGGTTGCCATGCTCTGCAAATCACTATGTTTTAGGCCAAAGTTAATTATATTGTTTGGTTCTTTATTTTGTCTTTATGCCTTCTTTAAACTAGGGATTGTTGGGTTCTAAAAGTACAGTACTAAATTAATACTAAAAAAGTTAGGGATGTTACAAGGAATTCTGTATGTAAAGTGCTGGAATAGATTTAATAATAAATCAATATTGACTCACAATATATAGCAACTGGTGTGTGATATCATTGTAACTTTGTTATTTACAGTTGTATAATCTGTTTTAATTTTGTAAAGTTAATAAAAATAAAAAATATAAATAAAAAAAAATGCAGGCGAGCCAACAGCATTACCTAACTTGCTCCTGTCGGAACCAATGTGGCATATTTAGAACAGTGAGCAGTCATCATGCGGACACAGACATGTCTCTTTACAAATCCTAGCTCCTGCTTTGGTCCATACTGAGCATTGACATGTGTGGTCAGGTGCCATCAAAATGCACTTGCATTCAGGACGAAGGGAACTTCAAAGAAAAAGGGAGAGATCCCCCCCCCCCATCTGACTGATCTATCTTTTGTCTTGAATTTAATCTGGCCTCTGCCTTTTTAAAATGCATTTCTAGTGACACTGAAATTATCACCAACCGCAACAAAATCTAGAGGCTATATAAATACCTGGTGTCAGCAAGATAACCGAAGTGACAATCAGGGAGCAGATAACCAGAATAACAAGTAACGCAATTGCAATTCCTTTCCAGTTTCTTTGTGGAGGGTTGCTTCCCACCAGCTCCTGCAAACAAAAAAGGAGAAAGCATGTTAAGAGGAGGAGAACAGCAACTGACAAAAGTTCAGTTTTTATAGTTGTACTTTCAATAGATGCAACTGCAATAGGTCACATTGGCAGCTGCAGTCTGGCTGCACAGGCATAGATTGGCACAAACCCCATTGTAATGGGTGGTTCCATAGTGGTGGTGATAGCGGTATTGGTGGTTAAACTTGTCTTGGGCTGCCTTCACACGTGATGGATAATGCACTTTCAGTAGGGTTGCCAGGTCCCCCTGGCCACTGGCAGAGGGGGTAAGGTTGCCAGATCCAGGCTGGGAAACTCCCGGAGATTTGGGGTTGACCCTGGGGAGGACAGGGACCTCAGTGGGGGACAATGCCAGAGAGTCCACCCCCAAAGCATCCATTTTCTCCATGGGAAGTTATCTCTGTAGTCTGGAGATGAGCAGTAATTCCAGGGGATCCCCAGGTCCCACCTGGTGGCTGGCATTCCCTAACTTTCAGTGCACTTTAGCACATGTTTGCAACTGGATTTTCCTGCAGTAAGTCCAGATGCAAACAACTGCTAAAGAGCATGGACAATGCATTATCCAACATTCATTCATTCATTCATTTCATTCATTCATGTATTTTTCATAGGCTTTCCAAGTCCCACCCGGGGGGCGGGGAAACCTCCGCCCCAGAGGCCCGTTCCCCGCTACCGGTGAATTGGGCCCCGGGGGGAGCCCCATCCCGACGTGAAGGTCACCCGGAAGTGATGTGACGACGCCGGGCACGCTGGGGGCGGGGCCACGGTCATTCGAGGGAAAACTCTATGGTTTTCCCCCAGATGGTCGTGCCCCCGCTCCCAGCATGCCCGGCGGCGTCGCGTCACTTCCGGGTGACGTGCGTACAGCGCGCACGCTCCAGATGCCAGCCGGAAGTCCCTGCTGCGGCGCAACACCCGACTTGGCAACCCTAATTTTTCAGCCTGTACTGGAAAAAAAGGGGGTTGGGCCCTAGGTCTGATTAGTAGACCGCAGGTACTTAGACCTGAAGTCAGACCAGACTAGCAAATACCTGATGTGTACATAGGTGTACATAGACCTGAGGCCAGACCAGACTAGCAGATAGCTGATGTGTACATAGGTGTGTTTGCATGTTTAGCAGAGGCTCATGGGGCATGCTTTGGAAAGAGCCGCCATGATAATGAGAGCTGGGATAAAGCAGGACTGGGCTAGCTGAAAGGAGAAGAAGAGGAGATAGATTGAGAAGCATTGAAGGCAGTGCTCTCTGAAGGGCAAAGCTTGTTTTACAAACTTTGGATCCAAAAAGGACAGATAAGACTGAGCTGGAAATTACTAGGAAGGAAGAACTGAACAGTCCTCCGTGCAGTAGCTGAGAAGAGCTGAGGAGCAGGAATTGCTGACAGCTGAACGCTTCACTGACTGCACCGAAATCAGCACCCTCCTGCAGAGCCGCCCCACTGCCTTGCCAGGTGGAAAGGGAAGCTGCTCCTAGGGCAATGGACCAGCCTCGAGACTCATCTAGCATCTAAACAGGAAGAGTCCCTGCTGTTGTAAGAAGGCCTCCTTGACATCTGGGACTCTGCTCCAGGCGTAGCCTCAGGAAGAAGACACAGTCTTGTCTGTCTGTGCCTTCTACAAAGTGGACTGTGAGGAGGCCTCTGCTCTGAGACAATGGGTAGTGAACCAGTATTGGTATCTCTGGGAACGTTTCTCACAGTTGCTTTCTGCTGTATTTAAACAAATCGGATGCACATTTTGAGTTTATGAACATTACTATAAACTTTGAGCCTGGCCCTTGGGACTCAAGCAATCATATCCCCCCCACCCCTCCCGCAATGCAGGGCTTGGGGTGGCTCACAACATTTCAAACAAACAAACATACAGCTGAACCATAAGGCTCATCATTAAAACAGATCAAAATAGTTAAAATCTTGGCCTTCTCCAGGTACCTAAAAATACTGCAGAGAGGAAACGTCTGGCAGTCCAACAGCCACTGGAAGTAAAAAGATTAACCAAAGTCCTGCCAGAACAATTCTGTCTTGCATGCCCTGCGGATCCCTGACAGGTCCCACAGGGCACGTGGTGTCTCCTCCGATAAGGCATTCCACCAGGACGGGGCTGTGACGGAAAAAGCCCTCACCCTGGTGGAAGCAAGACAGAGTTCCCGAGGACCAGGCACTGTCAAGAAACTGGACAATGATCAGCGCAAGCAGCATGGGGGGTTATATCGGGAGAGGTGGTCCTTCAGATATGCTTGTCGTAGACCATTTAGGACTTTAAAAGTAAAGCCAGTTTGGTGTGGTAGTTAAGTACGCGGACTTTAATGTGGGAGAACCAGGTTTGATTCCCCACGCCTCCACTCGCAGCTGCTGGATGACCCTGGGCAAACCATAGTTCTGTCAAAGCTGTCCTTGAAAGAGCTCTTTCGGCCCCACCTACCTCACAGGGTGTCTGTTGTGGGGAGAGGAAGGG